TCGCTAAACGCCATGGTGAGCTATATATACATTTGAGAAAAGCGACTGTCTCTACCTAACATCACAACTGTAGATCTACACAAGTACATGAAGTTACGCACCAAGGTGACGGAAATTAATTGGGACAGAAATCAAGGCATCTGGAATATGTAAGTCCCGGTAAGCAACTACATCAGACGCATAGTGACAGATGGGATAGTACCCTCGAAGACATGGTTACGAATAAAATATGGTACGACTGGGCGCATGTCTTCATCAATGGGACTGGAATCCTCAATACCTGGAAATGGCCCGATATCCAGGGACTTTCCGAATTCAAAGGCTCCATCATGCATTCAGCAAGGTGGAATCACGATGTCGACTTTAAAAATAAAACAGTGGGTGTGATCGGAACCGGTAGTACTTCCGTACAAATAATCCCAGAACTTCAGAAAGTTGCGAAGCATGTCGATGTGTTCATGAGGAGTCCGACTTGGATCAGTCCGCCTTTCGGAGCCAGTAAGTGTTTATATATTATCGTTCATGTCCATGCCCATTGTCTGACATGAATGTGCTAATATTGTTCTTTACGAAGCCGCCTTAGCTGCTCTAAGAGGCGGAGATGCTCCAGATCCCGGGAAGCGTCAGTATACCTTCACCGAACAGAACAAGAAACGCTTTCGAGAAGATCCTGATTACTATCTCCGATTTCGCAAGGAGATTGAGGCAGAAATCAATGCCTTGTTCGGGATGTACATGAAAGGCTCTGATTTACAGAATACATTTCGGGATGTCATAACCAAGGAGATGATCCGCAGGATTGGGCCGGGCAACGAAAAGATAAAAGAATTCCTCATCCCAAAGTGGTCAGTTGGGTGCAGAAGAGTGTCGCCCGCTGATGGCTATCTGGAGGCGTTGGTGACTGAAAATGTCACTCCAGTGTTTGGAGATATTGACAAGGTCACCGAAAGCGGAGTCGTAGTGGCTGGGCAGGAGCACAAGGTCGAGATATTGGTCTGTGCAACAGGCTTTCAGCCTGCGTTCAAGCCTGCTTTCAAGGCGAGTGTTATTAATTAGGGCCACTTCCTCGTGACTAACGATGTTATTCTTCAGGTCTTTAATGGCAGCAAGACGATTGACGAAGATTGGGGTTCCGGGTGCAATATGTACTTAGGGGTTTCTGCACCACGATTCCCTAACTATTTCACTATCGTGGTAAGTCTTGTTGTCAACTCTACTTGGTGGTTCCTACGATCTCTAAGGATTACTAGGGTCCTGGCGCCACGTGGAGTAACGGCACTCTCATTCCTGGAATCGAAACCACGGTGGAGTACTCGATCAAGATGATCAAGAAAATGCAAACGGAGGGTATACTGTCTGCCACAGTGAAGCAGCAGGCTCTAGATGATATCTACCAGCACTTCGACGAATTCCATAAAACGACGGTTTGGCAGGAAGAGTGCCGGAGTTGGTTTAAAGATGGTAAGGTCAAGAACCGAGTATACCTATGGCCAGGACCGGTAAGGTTATCCTGTTTTCCCAGTCTAGAGCTGAGTTGACTTTGGAAGACGATTCATTTCCTCAAAACGATCAAGGATCCTCGAATGGAGGACTATGACTTTGAATACCGATATGGTAACAGGTTCGCATTCCTGGGCAATGGGCATGTTAAAGCAACCCTGGCTGATGACGTGTTTGCACTGAGCCCATATGTCCGGAATTCGGATCATCCGTGGACAATTGACTGATCTTTCTTCCAAATGGTGGAAGCAACAACTTGTCAAGTACTTCCGAATGTCTCCAATACCGGCAAATTGAAGCTATGACTTGAACATGGATCGACTCGGGGCTAAGAGGCCGAGGCTCGTAGTTATTTACTAGTTCAGATTGTGTGTCACGATCTGCAATAGATTTCCCTTAAGTTGTCGTGCTTCCTTGGACGAGAAGTGTGCGATTGTGGGCTGGAGTGCTATCAAGATCATCCCGTTCTTGCTCTCACGTCAGTCAAGTGTGCTAGCATGCTCATGGCGGGCCTATCTGGGGTGAGTTTTGCAAACTTCACGCTGCGTTGGTAAGCATTCCCCCTTGCTCATCGTTCTGATGTATATATCACGGCCTTGGATGGTTCGCTTCGCGAATCTGATAAATCCTGCCGTTATTTGATCTTTCGTCATTATTGCTTGGCTGGAGAGACAATGCGTTCGGTAAGTGCTGACTACTATGGAGTGGTTTGTTGACTTTCGGTTAACTATAGCAGGCACAAAGTGATATCATCGGAACACAGGCTGCCACCGAATGTGCCTGTGGTGGCTAAGAGGTGAGTTTACGGAACAATGACGCCGGCCCACAATTCTGGGATGTTGCATAGCCAAAAGACACCAGGCCACGCCTCACTAGCTATGCGACGAGACCCAACTGGGCCGTGTCGAAATGCGGTCCACTTTTCATCATACGAACCTCCTGTGTCTCTTGCTGTTGTTCTGGATGGCAGATTTACCGTTAAAGGTAGGCTTATAGGAACTTTCAAGAAATCAAGGACATTGTTGAGAACCTCTGTTTTGCTGTCGACATTGTTCCGGGAAGGATTCATTTATATCTTTCAAAGTATTGTTTCATACGAGCTCTTCGTGAGGTGGCTTCGTTGCTCATTCCAACATGCCCTCCCAGTCCCCCTTCCCTGCCCTAGACATCCCTAAGACCAACCTTTTATCTTATCTGTTCCCGACAGGAGCGGATGACGATGATAAGCCGTTGTGGATCACTTCCAACAATGAACTCTCTGCTCTATCGCCGAATCAGCTACTGTCGTTAGTCAAACGTGTCGCTGCAGGATTCGTAAGGTTAGGTATAGGACGTGGCGATGTCGTGGCGGTCTTCACCCCCAACCATATCTATGTCCCCGTGATCTACCTTGCCACTGTTGGGTATGGCGCGGTATTCACTGGTTTCAATCCAGCGTACACAGTTGGGGAGTTGGTTCACCTAATGAAGGATTCTAAGGCCAAAGTCATATTTGTTCACCCTCAACTGTTGGGGCCGGCGTCAGAAGCCGCGCAGGAGGCCGGACTCTCTGAATCTAGCCTCATCTTATTCTCGGACGGGAAAGATGGAATTCAATCACCAGGGATTCAGGATTGGCGGACTTATTTTGGAAGCTCTAGTGAGGCCAGTTGCTGGAAATGGGACAATTACGACTCGAAGGAGGCAGAAGCTCGAATTGCCACGATCAATTACTCCTCTGGGTAAGTAGAAGTAGTCTTTTGGTCCTCCTCGAAATCCTTGCTCCTCGCATCCAGGTCAGTCTAGCTCAGCAGATATATGTGTTCGGCTTTTCTGGCGAAGACTTTGGTGGAAAGGTCCCAGGTATTTGATTGTGCCCATAGACTCACCACTATTATAGAACGACCGGGCTTCCGAAAGGAGTCATGGTGACGCATGGCAACATCATAGCCAACATCGTACAGACAACATTCATCCGCTATCACCTGACGCTTAAAACGAGAGCGATGGAGCGCTGGCTCGGATTTCTGCCCTTATATCACGCCTATGGACAGCTCTACACCATTCTAATGGCTTGCAAATTGCGGATCCCGGTTTATGTCATGGAAAGTTTTGAGCTGAGAAAATTTTTGCGTGCCATTCAGCAGTATGAAATCACGAATCTCCAGATTGCGCCTCCAATCTTGATCATGTTAGACAAGCGACCGGAGGTCAAGGAATACGACTTGAGCAGTGTACGAGAGGTAGTCTGCGGAGCGGCCCCAGTCCCACTCGAGCTCCAGACACGAATATCTCAACGATTTGGATTCAAGTTTACTCTTGGATGGGGAATGACGGAACTCACATGCACTGGAACATCTATACCTGGGGGAATGGTAGAGAACACTGGCAGTGTGGGGTTTCTGCTCCCTAACATGGAAGCAAAATTGATCGATGAAGCTGGTTATGAGGTGTCAACCGGACACCGAGGTGAGATTCTGATCAAGGGCCCTAATGTTTGCCTTGGATACTGGGAAAATGCGTCGGCGACCAAAGGCTTGTTTGATGAGGATGGGTGGCTCAAGACTGGTGATGTTGCTATCAAGAACTCCGAGGGATTATTCTGGATTGTGGATAGAAAGAAGGCAAGACATCAATCAAGATTTTTGCTGCCACGACTGACTCGTTCTAGGAGCTGATTAAGGTGAACGGACTCCAGGTTGCCCCTGCGGAATTGGAAGCTAAGCTTCTTGAGAATGAGCATGTGGCTGATGCAGGGGTTGTTGGTATTACTCTGTACGAGCTCTCCATAATCGGCGAGAGGACTGCTAACAAATTACCATAGCGATGACAATGAATGGCCTAAGGCGTATGTTGTCCTCAAAGAACAGAGTAAACAGAAAGTGTCTCCCTCAGATATCGCTCAATGGATTGAGACACGGGTGGCGAAACATAAATATCTCAGGGGTGGAGTTTCTTTTGTCGGTCAGATCCCAAAGCTTGCAAGCGGAAAGATACAAAGAAAAGTCCTCCGGGAATGGGTTCGTGAAGAAGTCCAGCAGCGTCAGAAGGGCCAGCGCTTACTTGCCAAAATCTAAACCATCACTTTCTTCTAGAATATATCCCCCTAGATTGTCGTATCTGGTTGGCAACTCGACAGCACGTCTGTAACAGGATAGAACCTGGAGTACAATGGGCTGTTAATAGGCTCTTACGGGAACCTGATCTTTTGAGAATAAAGTTGCAAGTTTTTCTCTCGGATGTGCATCCTACATCAAAGAGGCGAAACTTGTATGTATTGTACTACAGTCGTATTTAATCAAGAGTACTGCCACAGAACCTCACGACAGGCCAAGTACCCCAATTGAGTAGGCGACTTATCTGCGAGAACCGCAACCTCCAAAACTCTCTTTACACCAGTTGCAAGTTCTATATAGCTGCCAAAAATACTGTCTGTAAGCTGTTGCTGTGTGTTCTACACTTTGCCTGGAAAAATTCCGACACAGTGCACTACATGCAGTGAAGGCCTCCGGAGAACCTCCCTACTGACCTGTGTGGCCCCCGTCCACCTAGCTAAAATTAACCTCTGTACGCACAGATGCAAAGAATTGGTTCAAGATTGTATTCACTCACCAGAATAGCAGCTCCACTGATGTACGTTGCTCTGCTCGAAACTGTATGTGAATTAGAAGGACATCGAATATCTGAGCGAAACTGTAATCAACTCACCTAGGAAGGAAGCGACATCGGCTACCTCTTGAGGAGTTCCCAGCCGCTCCATGGGGGTAAATTTCTTACAATACTCCATCGTGAAATCGCGTACTTGCGGGCTGATCAGACCAGTGTCAATGATCCTGATTCGTCGCCGATCTGTCAATCAACGCGCGACTGTGCGAAGAGACAGTTACCACTCACCCTGGGCAAAGCGCATTCACACGGATCCCTTGCCTCGCGAAGGTGGTAGAGTCAGATCTGACCAGTCCTATCACAGCTGTTGCATGCAATCAGCTACTCAGTATGCCCGGCTGGATCATGCAGGCGAGACTTGATACATCCTTACCGTGCTTTGACATGGTGTACGGCGTCGAGTTCGGAAGCCCTATTAAACCACACATCGATGATATATTGACAATGGCCCCTTTGTTACCGGTTCGACCGTCACTGGCTCTAAATCAGTGCGACCACTAGCAGTGGCAAGAAGGAACGTCTTTACTGGGTGGGAAGAGGTTCTTGCGTGAGCATTTGTGCAATCTGCGCTCGCTCACATAGCCATATTGCACGCGCATTGACACTTTCAACAAAGTCGTAATCGTCAAGGCTCAGCTGGGTGATTTCTTTCTGCTTCCCTATTATGCCTGCCCATGCATCATAACACGTGAACAGAATGTCTCAGACGGGCACTTCGTGGAATACTTACCAGCTGAGTTCACTGCATAGTCCAATCTGCCAAACTTGGTAACTGTAAGCTTTATAAGATTGTCAATTGTTTCATTGTCGGTGATGTCCCCAGACTTGCTAACGACGATTGCTTCAGGGTTGATGCCTTTGACACTTTGTACAGTTTCGGCAAGGTGATCATCTTTGAGGTCTGTGATGAGGAGCCGTGTGCACCCATCTCGTACAAATTGTTCGACACAAGCTCTACCAATACCCCCGCCAGCTCCTGTCACAAATGCCACTCTGGTGCAGCTGAAGTCAGTCCAGTTGCATTTGATAGCCTCAAGCCACCTACCCAACTAATGCTAAGCTCATGTTACCAGACCTGGAGCAAGATTCCGACCTGTGTTACAAAAATGACTCTTGCAGGAAAACCATATTGTCTAGAAGAAAATTAGCCTCAGTCATGTAGACCAGTGTGTTACGATCGAGTCCCGGGATCCTGGAGCTGCTCAGCCGAACCCAGGCTATGTGGCACCCTGTAACAGACGACCTGGGGAGTACGAGTGCTGACCAATGGCAGTAGGCTCTGGCCCTCCGATAGAACCGAGAGGCATGCCGGAGACGTTTATCCTTGGCCAAACAACGCCAAATTCTTCATTTTACTGTTTGGAACCCTGCATTAGTTGCTGACCCTATTCTCGCTTCTCAAAGACTGATTGTTGAAGCCCTGAGCATAGTAACACTTCTTCGTTCCCGCAATCAGAGCCTTTTCAAACAACCTTGGCTGATTATCAAGCTTTTGAAGATGGGAGAGTTTGCCAGCCCCGGTGAGGAGATTGGCAAGAGACTTCTGCCTCACGTAGTCGAAAGTCTGGGCATCAATTCCCCACATAAAACTTTCGCCACCTATCACGACGATGGTGATGACTATCGACAGGGATGGTCCGATCTGAATTTCCAGCAGCTCTCGCAGGCAGTTGATTGGACTTCTTGGTGGATCGAGAAGACAGCAGGAAAAAGTACTACCACGGAAGTGGTGGCGTATATGGGCAAAACGGACTTGCGATACGCCTTTTTTACCATCGCGAGCATCAAAACAGGCCATCCGGTAAGAAACAAATTGTGAGTATCGCGCGCATTTTCTGACTTGGTAGATCCTACTTCCTTCTCCGAGAAATTCTCTTGAAGGCCATCTCCATTTGATCAAAGAAACTGGTTGTAAAGACTTCTTCTACAGCTCGGAACGGCGGGGGAAGATACATGAATTAAAGGCACAAGCCAGCCACGTCCGCTTCTGGGAAGTTCCGACAGTGGCCGAGATATTGGCAGAACGATCAGAACCATATCCTTTTACAAAGACATACGATGCTGCCGAACGTGAGCCAGCCATAATCATTCACAGCTCTGGCTCCACTGGTAAATATTGCTGTCTTGAGTCAAAATCCGAAGTTTAGCTAATCTATGTCTTTCTTCATTGCAGGATTGCCGAAGCTAGTTCCTATGACCAACGGGTATATTGGTGTTCAGGACAAATTTTCACTCATCCCGGAGACAGAGGATTGTCGCAGAGCCGTCTGGACGGTCATGGCACCAGATGAGCGGTCCCTCTGTATCAACCCTCTCTATCATCTAATGGGCCTCTATATGTTTCAAGAGTCGATCTTCCACGGCATTCCTGTTGTTATTGGCCCTGATAGGCCTATCACGGCAGAAATACTTACAGATATTATCACTACCACTAGACCTACGATAGCAATTCTCCCACCGTCCCTGATCGAAGAGCTGAGTCGTTCCGATGAGGGCAAGTCGGCACTCTCATACCTACGAACAACTATCTCAGGTGGAGCGGCACTGTCACCGCTGGTAGCAAAGCGGGTTTCAGAGCTGACACGACTAGCAAGCGTCTACGGAACCAGCGAGATCGGTGTTGTCGCGTGTTTGATACCAAAGTCAAAGGACGACTATAAATATGTTGAGTGGCATCCCGCGTATGGCCTAGCTATGGAACCGATTGGCGATGGCCTTTTTGAGGCCGTCGTATGGCGTAAAGCTAAGAGCGAATTCCATGCAGTATTCCACAGTTTCCCAGAGCTCGAAGAGTATAGAACGCAAGATTTGTTCACGAAGCACCCTTTCAGGGATGGTCTCTGGCTCTATAACGGCCGGAGAGACGACGTAATTGTTCTCAGCAACGGAGAAAAGTTTAATCCTATCAACATGGAGAAGCATGTCGAAGAGCACCCAAGTGTCCACAGAGCTCTCGTCCTCGGACAGGCTAGATTTCAGTCGTCGTTGCTAATTGAACCAAAGTGGGAGATGTGGGACAACCAACAGACTAAGGAAGGTTTTATTGAAAGCATCTGGCCGTATGTTGAAGAAGGCAACAAGCACCTGCCAACCCACGGTCAAGTCATGCAGTCACACATCTGTGTTGCAACCCGAGAAAAACCTTTCAAGTTGACTCCAAAAGGATCCATTCAACGTAAGACTACTCTTTCAAAGTATACCGAGGAGATTGACGAGATTTATACGCGAGGAGAATCTCTCGACGGCCGAAAGTTACCAGAAAACCCTAGTCTAGAACAGATTACCACCTTCATCTTGGAAATTGTCAAGGAAGCGATGCCTGATTTTGCCGTATCAACTACGTCGGACCTTTTCTCAGCAGGACTCGATTCTCTTCAAACTCTTCGACTTGCAACGATGCTCCAAGGCGCGATCGGACAGCTCGATGACACCAGGCGATCTTTCGTCACCGCGGCCAAGCTCTACAATACTCCGACGATAGCCAAGATTGCCGACTTCGTATATGATGTTATCTATGATGACATGGTCAGCAAGGATATGGCTGCCGACATTGACGCAGATTTAGACAGCAAATTGGATGGCCTCATCGATAAATATACGGCAGATCTCCCTCCTTTCATCGACGACATTGTACAGCCACCCTCTAAACACACCGTCATCTTGACCGGCAGTACCGGTTTTCTGGGCACTTACATACTTGACAGACTTCTCCGAGATCCTCGTGTCGCATGCGTATATTGTCTTAATCGATCAGCGGATGCCTTGGCCAGAGCTAAAGAGAGCTTCCAACAGAAAGAACTCTCATTTCCCACCGAAATGAAATCCAGACTCATCTTCTGGCAGGCCAATTTCGGTGAAAATAGATTCGGACTCGATGAAAAGCAGTACACCGAAGTAAGACAAAATGTTGACATCATCATTCACAACGCTTGGAAAGTTGATTTTAATCACTCTCTCGAGTCGTTCGAGCAAACGCACATAGCTGGTGTGAGAAGGCTAGTGGACTTTAGCCATGACAGCCCCCGTCATCCACACTTGGCTTTCATATCTTCCGTCTCGACAATAGGCCGATTCCATAGCAAACATGGCGCGTCTTGTCCAGAGGCCTCGTTACCAAACACAGAAGTTGTTGTTCCTTCGGGCTACGGGCTGTCAAAGTTTGTAGCGGAGCGTATCCTCGACCTCTCCTCTCAGAAATGTGGTATCCCGACCACAATCATCCGGGTAGGTCAAATCGGAGGACCATCATATGGACCAGGATATTGGAACAAGCAAGATTGGGTCCCAATCGTTCTGAAGTCGTCTAAGGAGCTGGCCACAATACCCGACAGCCTCTCATACATGCCAATCGATTGGGTTCCTGTGGTGAGTTGAAGCCCTCCTGAGAGTGCTTATGTATCTTGAACTAAGTCGAAAATTTAGAACCTTGCCGCGAATGCAATTGTTGAGATGATAGAAACACGCCAAAGTACCCAGGCTGACCAGAGGTGTGAGGTTTTCCACTTGATCAACCCCACGCCAACTTCTTGGAGAACTCTCTTACCGGCCATACATCGACATCTCGCCGTCAAGGTTGTCTCTTTCGCCGAATGGGTCAACATGGTCAAAGAAATCCCTATAACCGACGAGGCGATTGTCAACACGCCCGCAGTCAAACTAGTAGATTTTTTGCAAGGTCTGGCGGCACTGTCAGATTGGAAGCAACCGCCTTGGGAGACCATACGGGCCCGGACAGCTAGCCAAACAATGCGCCAGCTACAGCCTGTGGGCGAAGAGTTGATGGATGTATACCTAAGACAATGGAAATTTTGATTGCCAAAAAGCAAGTCGACCTGAGGATGACCAAGACCGCGGGAACACAGCTCCACAGCTTGAACGTTTCAAATAAGAAAGCAGGCGCCAAAACCGTCTACGAATACTACTGAGCACTCTTTCGTTTTGTCAAGTCGGCCACCCTGACTTGAGATTCCGCTGCGGCCGTCCACTTCTCATTTGGTCAAAATACAACCCAGTAATAACTCGGCGAGTAACCCACAAGTAAACTTTTTCGCTCATCAGGTTCCATTTTGTTGTGCAGAGGATCTCCTAAATGCTTCGAGTAACCTACTTGCGATGCTCGGCCGAAGGAAAGGGGCGGCCAGGCACGTGATCTGTAACACTCTCGACAAGAATCGTACAGAGGAGTTTTTGGCTGGAAGCACGGATCTTTCAAAGCAGCAGAAAGCTCTCATGATTGTGTAGTCTCGACATTATCTTTGCGTCAAGCATTACTGTGAATAGACTTTGGCAAGCCAGTCCCAGATCTCAGTCGCCATGAGTCCATATTCTAGGCCTGATTGAGCATCCAGCATACAATCAACATGCACATGGAGAGGACATTCGACATTCGTGATTTCCACGCCAGCCTTGGATAGCTTACATCCAACCTCTTTCACGGGGTCCTGTAGCATCTCAAGTTCTCCCCAAATATTCAACACGTCTTTTGCTGGGAAGCCCGTCCACCAAGACTGGTCTGCCAGGTATGGCTCTGACCAATTATTTCGGTCCTTTGGAAGGACAAACGCGTCGACCATTTGATCCAACAGGGCCGGTGTGCAGATATCAGTCGGCGTATTTACATGAAACGACCTGAACTCGTTTGAGAAACTGACCCAAGGCGAAATCAGGAGCACACCAGCTAAGGGGGTTTCCAGTGACAAAGGCGGCGCCAGGCCTGCGAGTGGGTGCATGATCTCAGAAATTAGGCCCAGAGACATGTTACCACCAGCGGAGTCTCCTCCGATAACCACCTGTTTATGCCTCGTTCAGTACCTGAATTCACGTACGAAGGTGTTGATGAGACTTCATGTGAGAGGTGTACCTACATCAGCTGGCTCAAATCCTCCGGCAAGAACAAATCGCAAGGCTTCCGTTGCCTGTAGAAGTTGGGTTGGGTACTTTTCAACGGTTGAAAGAGCTGATCACGGCTTTTCTCAGACCTGTGGCATTCATACCTTTCCTTCAGGACTTTAATACATACCATATTCCAGGAGTGCTACAACTAGCTTCTCTTCCGTCTTTTCAAATACTTGATCAATACATGCCTTCAGGAAGATGATGTGACCATCGATCGGAGGCATGGCGTAACCGCCCCCTAGCATAGGTTTTGAGCATATCATCTTCTGGCTAGAATTGCTGGAGGTTGAAGTATTCTCACCATGGAAATAAAGTAGCACTTTTGTAGAAGTCCGGTCTCCGAGCCAATGGATTTTTGCATTTTTGCTATTTGGAATCTCCTCGACCGCATGTTTTATATTCAGATCCGTTGCACGAGCCGGGATCATCTTCCCGGTTGGTGGTAGGATGCTCGTCTTCTCGAGTGTCGAGAACAACTCTCGTGATTGATCGTTGCGTATTTTATGCGCCTCCGACCGAGCCATCATGGGCTGCTGAAAATTGATCAATACTGCCTCAGACTCTGAAAAGAATCCGGACAGCGGCAACTATATGTTGGACTGATCGTTGCTTCGATTAGACAGCTAGCTATAGCTGTCTAGGAATAGGATGAATATTAGCTATCACAACTCAAGCCTGAAAATCTTGCTTAAAAGTATGCGGTTTGAAGCACCCGATGCAGCGCTGGAAGTGCTGCATAGCCAGTATCATCGCATTGACATGAGCGAAGCAGCAATGTGCTATCCAAGTAACAGACACCACGCATCCGATTCCTGGTCAGGAGTTGGTGTCGCGCCATAAAAGTGGAGTTGACATTCCTTATTCAAGTAGCCTACCTAGTCCCGCCGCGATAATTCAACTTGATTCAAAGCCACATCCGCAGCCTATACTTTTCCAGCGGGGCTCGTATAAAGCGTTGAAATTCCGGGCTGAAAGGTACATGCCGAATAAATCGGCCCGATCAACAGGGTACATCTCCGAATCGAATGCGAGTAGTCGCAAGAGCGGCACACCGTAAGTTCATATACGTGATGATGTTTATCAAGCATAAGTTACAGGGGGAGGATCAGACTCGAGGGTAGTGATTTTTCCGAGCCAACTATCGTTTGGTCATGACGTCGTAAGATGAGGGTGGAAACAGTAAATGCGAATCTACAATCTTGACCTGTGACCACAAATCCGACTGGAAATGTAGAGCAAGAACTTGCACTCTTTCATGGCGCACATTGGCACTTACAACTTTATTTTCAGATAGTTTTCTCAGACGTAATCCATCCATTCATCCGATAGGCCATCACTTTGTCACAACCTCAACAAAAGTTTTGCGGCAATTCGTACCAGTTGGGTCACCTCAATGGACCCGAGTGTGAAACAGCTACACAAGACCTCTGAAGCTAAGCTTTACCAGCAATCTGCTGAAATCACCTTCTAGCTAAGGTGTGATCAGCAATTCAGGGTTATCAATCAGCCCTTTGAATCGTTTGGGGAGAAGACGCCATCATTCTCGCTTGTCGATTCTTCGGGGTGTACCTCCTTCGCGCTCAACATCATCTTTCTCGAAACCTCGCTAACCATAAGCTCAGAGTAGTTGTGGATGAAAAAGGCCGAGATTATGGAGCATGCGCCCAGAGCAATTCCTGCATACCAGACGTATCTGTACCTGTTGGTCAACTTTCTGATGTCATTAGTTACTTGGAGAAGTATCGTACCGAAATGAATCAGCATAACCTTGTTCCACCGCAATCCCTACGCTTTTCATTATTTCTGGAGTAATACCAGGAACAGCTGTCATGTTGGTCGAGTAGTTAACCAGCAAAGACTCCAGCGAGGACGAAGGTAGCCCCGCCTTGAGAGCAGCCGATTCGATTTTTGCTGGTAATATAGACTTCAACTTAGAAGTCAGGATTGCCACATAGATGGCCGCTATCGTGAGTTAGGACATTGTCAGTAAGGTTGATTGAGACTAGAACGCTTACTAGCCACTGCGGACGACCCGTAACCAAAGGTCCCGAGGATCCCTATGGCCGAGCCAATATCCTCGTCCGGACAGGAAAGAGGAAGAAGGGATCTGGATGCGGATTCAATGATACCGCACGACCCACTAATGAGAGCCACGAACGTCGCGGCTTTAGATGTCTGCCCAGGCTGAACTGATACCATGGCTCCCACAAAGGTAGTCAAAACCACAGCACATGCCACAATAATGTATTTGTGGTAGGGAACGAAGGTCAAAATGACCCCGGCTAACCCCAAACCAAGCAGTGTACATGCAGTTTGGACGGCATTCAATAAGTTAGCTTGCTAGTGCATCAGACTGGATTGTGGACCTACTGCCAACCAGCTTCTGTGATCGGGGCTACCCGGTAGAATACTGTTCACCTGTTGCGGCCAGAGAATTGCGCTCGAGAGAACGACGCAGGACCCAACACCTGCGCAGAGCACCTAGGTTTCGCGTTAGTAGTGATAGTGATTGCTGACAGCTTCGATCAATACCATCGAGAGGAATCCGCGAGCTTTGAATCTGCTAGATCGTTAGTGAAAAGGCTTCAAGCATGAATAGGAAACAGACAGATGCGTAGGTAGTATCTGGTCGCCGGTATACCACATTTCTGACCATATAAGTCTCAAATACCTAAAATGGGTATGAGGATAACGAAATACCGTAAAAGCCAAAAACCATAAGAGTACAAACTCCCACAACAATCATGGCGATAACACGTGCTGATTTCCAAGGATAGAGGTTGCCACCAAGGCTGAGGCCCATAAGAAACAGAAGCAGGCCAGCTGTGAACAGAACAAGTCCCCCAAAATCTGTTCGTTTCAGTTGCTCCCATCGCGATCGGCCTAAGTGCAACAGTTTAAATCCAGGAGGAAAATAGCATAACGTGAAAACTACTAGCGTAAATGCTTTCGACGCAACCATGTCAGTTCCAACTACGTCAAGAAGCGAGACAGGACTCATACCATTTAAGATGAGTGGGAAGTAGAAGACCCATCTCCAATTCCCGTTGGACGCGTTGAGAATCTGGCGCGTCAAGGCTGGGCCGAGACCGTACCCCACCATGGCAGAGATATACACCGCCGAGTTAACCAGGGGCCTCATTTTTTTGGGTATGACTAGACACATGACGGCTTAGTATGCCATGGACAGTGGGGGAAGGAAGTGTAATACGGGGTGGACTAACGTTCGGCAAGCCAGATCGTAAAGCTGCTCTGGACAGCCGCAGCAAGACCCGTGAGGACCTGACCGCCGACTATCGTTCGAGCGCTGTGTGCCGTTCCAGATACAATACAACCAAGAACTGCCAGCGCGTTGGCACCGATCACGAAATATCGACGCCCAAAGATATCAGCCAGGCGACCAAATAATAGCAAACTGACTGAGTAACACAAATTGTAGGCGAGTGGGATCCAGTTTATGGCAATGGATTCACCAAACTCGGCGACAATCTCAGGCGTGGCGTTTGCGGCATATATATATGGTATAATATAAGCATTGTTAGTAACCACTGCACCCTATAGCAGTATAGTCAGCAGAGGAACTTGTCGGTCGTAGAGAAATCAAAAGACTCACAACTAAGAGACCAATGAATCTGGGATTCCGAAAATACTTCGCTGACAGGTCGTTACCCAAGGCAGCGTCGCTAATGTCGAAAGTCTCGGTGTGCACCGCGACATGATCGGTAAGAGAAGCGAGCTGACTATGCTGGGGCTGCTCCGACTCCACGTGGAGTTCTTCTGGCTTGCCGAACACCATGTCTACGAGGCCAAATTTACTCAGAAAACGTCTTCCTGAATGTTGTGAGAGATTTTGTAGTTTACTGGAATTACTAGAAAGTGAGGGAACTAGCCTTCATATAGATGCGGGTCCAGCTTGCTCTATAGCCCCCCAGATTCCCCCCGGACACCACCCACGGGGTGATTGCTGGACAGATAGGGGTATTACACGTGGTAGCAACAACGTACGGGGTGTGCCTGGGACTGACACGCATTGACCCTCGTTCCGGCGATCATGATACTACCTTAGCCTAAGCGTCCCCATTCACGGCTATGTACAAACCAGCACCCGACATCATGAACGCGAAGCAGACGCCCATCTGGTCGCTGATGCTTGGAACCTATCGAGGCCATCGTGTTAATATCGCCAATGAGTCCAGCTTGGAAAACTGTTCATCCTTGTAGCGTCTAACGCCAATGACACAACTTAGAGCACTCTCGGTAGTCTGCTGTCCGAGGCTTATGCATACCTAGAAGTATTAGCAAGTCGCGGTGCAGGTGCCTTGTACCGGAAACTGGTATCAACCGTGGACGTACAAGCGCCACGTTAGGCCTCGGGGGCACGCGTACACGCTGCATTGTTCTATTTGTAACTTCTAGCTACTTGTCGGCAAATAGATCCCGCAGATCACAGCCAAACTGCGTTGAAGTGATTTTAGCCTCTCCCTGTGGGGTGTGGGGGATAATTCATCCCGAATCAGGGGATCTCCAGCCTGATCTGCCTAGCTTTTACCCGTCCACATAGGGTGATCCGTACAGTGTCCTTCCATATGCAAGGAGGATGGTGCCCTGCCAAGCTACTATTTTATCAGTCTGAAGCCTTCGCTTTGACCTTTGCACCTCCATCCTAAGGTTCAGAACAGAGAGGTGAACAATTAAGTATACGGGTCGTTCGGGAAAATGACGGTATTGGCACTTGTCCAATTCTCTATAGCCACGGTAAGCTGTTTTACAAAGTCCATCTATGCAGCGGCTCATAGGTCTTTCTTGCTAGCCAATCTGCCTATTTGTGGCATCCGTGATATACAACGTCTTTTTTCACCCTCTGCGGCACTATCCCGGACCTTGGCTCTCCGCCGCCACCAAGATTCCTTGGTATCGAGCTCTTCTCACAGGGGATCTCTCATTTTATACTCAGCGCATCCATGAGAAATATGGGGACATAGTTCGCATCTCGCCGAATGAGCTCTCATATATAACTGCGGGTGCCTGGAAGGATGTCTACGCGAATCGAGTCAATCATACACTGCTTCCAAAAGACGAGAAGTTTTACCACCCTCCTCCAGGAGGAGCTCACAGTATCCTCACAGCGCCCCATGAAGCTCATTCTCGCATCCGTCGCCTTCTTTCACATGCATTTTCGGAAAAGGCTCTGCGAGATCAGGAATCCTTGATCAAGGTTTACGTGGACCTGCTCGTCCAGCGTCTTCACGAGGAATCGAATTCGAAATCTGCCTCTCTCGATATGGTATCCTGGTACAATTGGACCACTTTCGACATCTTCGGCGATCTCATGTTCGCGGAACCTTTCGGATGCCTTGACTCAGCCTCGTATCATCCTTGGGTCGACCTCCTATTCAAGAGCATCAAGGCACAGACGCTCGCCAATGCTGCCGCGCACCTTGGTATACTGCCACTGCTCAGAAGATTTCCCCCAAAACGTTTGGTGGAGACCAGACTGAAACACATGTCTATGACAACAGAGAAGGTCACCAAGCGGTTGGACTTAAAGACTGACCGAGCGGACTTTATGGGTTTCATTCTGAAGCACAATGACGATGAGTTCGCCATGAGCCTCCCAGAGATCAAATCGACCTCCTTTGGCATCATAATTGCCGGATCTGAAACCACTGCCACCCTCCTTTCCGGCACGACATACTACCTCCTTAAGAATCCTGAGAAATTGGCGAAATTGACCAAAGAAGTCCGAGAGGCTTTCCACTCCGAAGATGAAATCAACCTCACCTCCGTCAATGGCCTCACGTACATGCTTGCAGTATTAGACGAGGGCCTTCGAATGTATCCACCGGTGCCTGTCGGCCTCCCGCGCCGAGTGCCCGAATCCGGCGAGACTATCGTGGGAAACTTCGTTCCCCCCAACGTATGCTCTAACTCTCTGCAACAAACGGGATATGTCTTTTCTAACAGAGTAACATCGATAGACCGTTGTATCGGTAAACCATTGGGCAGCTTACCGTTCACCACGAAACTTTTCGCAGCCAGAGTCCTTCATTCCCGAAAGATGGCTTGACGACACGGACTTCTCTGACAACAAGCGGGTATTCCAGCCGTTCAGCACAGGCCCGCGGGCTTGCATAGGCCGAAAGTAAGCTTGCCTCTCGCCCCCTCGGAAATCCAGACAAGTGACAAAGAAAATTCTAGCTTGGCCTATGTTGAGATGAAACTTATCTTGGCCCGTATCGTTTGGAACTTTGACATGGAGATTGACGCCACAAGTAACGACTGGGCTAACCAGAAGATGTTCATCCTATGGGATAAACCTCCTCTTTTGGTCCGTATGACCTCGAGGCCAGACCTGCAGACACTGAAATATCGCTCGAAGAACAGTGAAAAAGTATGAAGGAATGTGGTGTCTCTGCTACACGAAACAGGTGGCAGCTACGATGAATCTGCCAATACCAGAGCTAAGACGCTGTTTATGTATGTCCTCATTTGCTGGCGATATGTAGGTGAGTTGGCGAAGAATATTTTGATGACGTGTGGCAAGAACATTGAAAACTCTATAAACTGTTTAAAGTATATCATTTCGTCCAGTTAAACCAATTGTTCACATCCAATTCACGCTTTTGCGATAGTCCGACATTGAGGGATGTCGATTGGGTGGTGGACGAGAGGGCCAATAAGGTATTGGCGACACAGGGCCTTCCACAACCTGATCTGAAGGAGCTGCGATAATACCGTTCAACGTATCAACCCCGGAATGGCGCCCGGTTAGGTGGGGAGTGTCACTCGAGTCGAGGGAGGGTATAGGAGCGGGCACTATGTTGGCGTCATCATCTAATATGGCAACGTCCGGCCCATTATCTTGGCTGAGTATGTCGTTGGATATGTGGTCGACGTTGAGAAAATCGTCGTCGAAAAACAGTGGGTCAGTGAGATTCAAGCCGCCCATATCTGTTGGCCATTTTGTGCCCATAGTAGGAAAGGTGCCCAAGCTCCAGTTGTTGGACGTCACGACCGAATCAAGCCCAAACCCGGGATCTCGATCCATAGTGGGCGCCCTGTAATACCTCTTGGTAGTGTTGGAGGTGCTTGTGTTGATCGGCCCGTGGCGGGGGTGCCTGGGGCTTGAGCCTTGGACGCGCTGTCTATGTGCTTGCGGCGGTTGTACGTCGTCCTGCGAAAACGTGCTCTTCCGCTTCAGAGACGTGGGCGAGCCTCGAATTTGACTCATTTGGGAAGTTTGTGGTCCTGAAAAGAGCAATTTTGGCCCTTCAGCCCAGCCAGGGTCTTCGAAAATCTTGTCCAGAACATTGGCCATCCTGTCTGCGGCCTTGTAGATGGAACCCATGCTCCTCATAGCATCTCTCATGGCCTGGAGATAACGAAGTGGGACAGTACGCTCAGCGGGGTCCTGTAAGCTCGCTATACCTGCAATCAGGGCTGTTGCCGCCGTCCCAGCGTGATCCAGGCCAGTGATGAACATCTGGCTACCCTGAAATCTGGAGTAATAATACTTGAAGATCCTCGCGAGCCGGATCGAGTTGTCAAAACACACTTTGCGCGACAGAATGGAGAGCTCGTTGATCTCGGGATACGGAGGTGCATCATCTGACGAAGGCACTCTACTTGCTTCCGGGTGGCCATAATTGGCGAACGGCCGATGTAGCAGAATCAAAAGTGCATAAAACTGTTGACTGTATCATCGAAAGTATCAGCAGCTAGTGCTGTAATTTAGAATGGCGGGGGGTAAGGCCAAGGGAGAAAAGCTCAAAGGGAGTTCTGACTCACTGTAACAAAAGGAAACCCGCAGGCGCGTTCTGAATATTTACCGGTCTCCACTTGAGATGATCCGGAAGGTTTGAATACCACTCGTTGAGTTTTCGATCCAACGCAGCCATCGCGAGGTAAGCCTTCACATCTATCCGGAAAGCACCAACCTCGAAGATTTCGGTCATCCGCCTGGCGAACTCCATTAACTGGAGCAAATACCGATATATTTCCCCATCAAGCGAGTCGAGAGCTTCCGCCATGAGTTCCATACTGCGTGACAGCTGGTTGCTTCCTAGATCAGAGCCCTTGATCACCGTCGGGCGACCCAGGAATAAAGCCCAGTACCTACGCATATCAGTGACTATTTCGAACCCAGGTCCGAAACCGTGCTTACGTATCGTAGGTGACACATGCCCAGAGCACCATATGTCGCACTTGCACGGTGACCTTGGGCAGGTCGATCATCGTGCAGTCAAGGTTTAGTCCTACGTCAATCGCCAGCCGACATGCCATACCTGCAGGAAGAAAGTGTCAGATGACGGAAAGCATGGTCATGTGGTTCCCACATGCATGAATGGGATTACGCATATCAAGTTGCAATCCGAGACCTCGGGATACACTCACCAGAGTACATCCATCCACTGCTGTCCCTTCCGGTAGCATTCTCCAAATCTCCTAGAATCAGCAAGGCCTGGATACTGGGCAGGCCCCCAGGCGACGAAAGTTCGAAATCGACCAAGCGCCGGGCTTCCCTCTGGATTTTGGTCTCCTTGCCCGATCCTAGGAGATCGCTGACTAGGGGCAGACTAGTATCAGCGAAGCGCATCCCCATGGCGAGGAGGGTAAGGTGTAGGAAGGCGCTGTAATGAGTATTCTGTCTTTGCCTCATGTCGTTCAAGAATGCTTCTTTGTGGACAACGAACAGAACGCTATTGTAGTATGTCCAGTACAGGTCCAGAAGATAGTCTTGCGTCTGTTGAGGAATGTCTCTTAGCGCAAAGAGACCATATCTCTCCTGGTCCCGACACTCCAGAGAGCGAGGCCAGGTGCTCATGGCGGAGTAGATATGGAAGTTAGTAGTCGGTCCAAAGTATCGGAGCCTTCCAGTCAAGTCATCGTAGGTCCAGTGACCCTGAGTGGAAAGTATATGGGCCAGAATTCCATCACTAGATGCCGTTGAAAGTGGGCTACCGCTGGAACACACAGATTGCACGCGAGGATGCTGCATCTCGTCGGATTCAAATGTTACGCTTTCAGTAGGAACAATGTGTGCGTCAGGGGCGAACCCAGTCTCGACTGCCTCACTATTCTCGGTCGTCGAAGGCGGGGTCCTTTGTGCCGTTCCTTTCAGCTGATTCTGCTCGTTTGATCCGTTCGATTTGAGATTCCGGTCGGCAGTTGGTTGTTGTAAGCCTTGTTTGCGCAGCAGATCCTCTAGGGTCTTCATGCGATCTGCAAGTGATTCCATATGGGCTTTTATAACCGGCCTTGGAGTTGATTAGTTACACTGGCACTGGCAATTTTGAGAAGTCACAACCTTCTTCGTCGGTCATCTTGTATGATACACGCCGTGTCGTTTGCTCGACAGTGGTCGCAGGCAGTGGCTCCCTCTTGTATCACACACTAATCCAGGCATGGTTATGAGCTGACGGTGACCATATGAATGCTGGACTTACCCTGCTTCTGCGAGCACGGCATGCTGCACAAGCCACTGAAGTTCGAGACCGCTGCCTGGGTCGTCCACCATTGTTGTCGCTGGCGTTCCTGTTCTCTGAAGGTGGGGGCGCGGGCATCTTGGATATTTCATTCGGATTAAAATCATCTACAATCAGGTGCCTGAGTTGCTTCTGCGGTGATCAGAAATCATTCAGCACAGAGCGTCAGCTCAAGCAGTCGAGCTTTCGAAGATTCCGAAATCGTGAGGCGAAGATTTTGCTCCAGGTTGGGGAACCCCGCGTATGGGGTACGACTGCGCCTCGATCCTCATGAGGAACTTAGTCAGTGCTGGTGCTGTTGAAGGGACGTTTTTGATTGCGTGGAAGTAACTGACTCATGCGAATCTGGGGCCGGGTCCACTTTGTGAGATGGGAGCAACGCCAAAAAGCTCTACCACATTGGACCAGAACCGGCTAAGAGGACTGACTACTCCGTAGCCTCGGAAAGACTAAGACTGCCCAAGCCGCCAGGGCCCCAGATTGAGCTGTTACTTCGCTAAATGGAAACCTTTATCCGCCCCACGCGTACGTGAATGGCGATAACGACTGGTCAAAGTTACGACACCGAGACGAAGCTTGTTGGGACATTATTATCTGCACAAAACCTGATCATAATTTTCACAAAGCTGAGCGCTCATGCTAAGGAAAGGAGTTGGCCACGGAGGGCAGAGGGCAGAGTCATGTCCATAATGGACAAGAATCAAGGAATCGCCTTGTTTTGTCGGAGACGGTCAAACACTGTCCACCAGGTTTGTCGAAGGTCTGAAGTTTCGTGGAATCCAGCATTTCGGCTCTTGGTGAGGTCCAGCGCCCGATCAAAACAGAGCTCTGACATAATATGCTGTTGGTAGTGTCCTTTACCTTCGTTTAACTCATTGTGTATTAGATTATTTCTCAGCCTGTTCTTCCTGACGAGTTCACTCCACGCTGAGAGATTCGACTTGAGGTAGTATCGTGGCTGAAGATAGTTCTCCACCGGCGGTGTGCCCTTGAGCCCAAACCATTCGCAAATAACTGGCCAGCGCTGGGCCCAGGTCGTTGCTGTATCGCTGTCGGCGATATTGAAGGACTCGCCTCCGGTTCTTTTTGGGTGCAGTGACGCCCAAATGCTGAACTTTGCCACGATATCCTGGGAGCTGTCGTTAGATTTGGTGTTCCAAGCTTCCCATGAACCCGGAAAGGAACAGTCTTGGCCTGCTCCCTCGACTGCAGCAAAGAGGCTTAGATAAACGGCGAGTGTCTGCGCGAGGCAATATGTATTACCATTAGGTACAAACCCAGGCTACAGTTGTGGTAAGTCACTCTCATTCTTCTGGAAGATTCAAGCTCACGAGGATTCCACATACAATCACATCCGGGCGGACATCACACCATGTCCATTTGCGTCCTTGGGACAGAGACCTCAAGCGGTCAAGAAGATGGTAGTAGAACATCTGTGCTGCATAAGGCTGAGGGATGCGGGGCAACGACTCCTTCAGAGGCAATTCGCCCGAGAAAGGAAACAAATCTTTGCCCAAGTGAACTCCGTAGGCCTCTTGAGGAGTCAGAATATCATCGATGCTCAAGATATGGAACAGTCTTTATTTGGACTAACCTTGGTACCGCTAGGAAGAACAACGAACAAAAGTTTTTCCGAAAGCCTGTCAACTGCATTGATTGTCCGCTCTAGCATCCGAGTGTTGACCGTGCTTTCGATATTGGGGTCCGTAGAGTGGCGATACGCTGCAACCTGGTATTAGCCAATATGCGATGTGGGACGTGACTGTCCTACAAACCGTAGAAGTAAATGTCCGTCACATCTTCGATGTCTCTTATCTTGCTCTTCATCTGGCTCTCAAGCTCTTCCTGGCTAGCACTATTGAGGTCCACGCCACTGACCAGTCTGAGACTGTCGTTGATTGGCCACAAAGTGTCTTGGAAGATAATCGGTCTGTTTGTGACGGCGCTGACCTTAGAGAATATTCCCTTCTGAGGGTAGCCCCGGAGTAGTTGATTCACGATCGCCCATCCAGTGATGCCTGAGGCCCCTAAAACCAAGGCGTGACGGCCTTTTGACCCTGACATTCTGTCCAACACGGCCCTCGAGGAAAGTCGAGGAATGTGGTAAGCCGGTCGTTACAGAAGTTGAAGCAACTGGGGAAGGGACTGACAGTGATAATCAGGTGCTTTTGGAAGATATACCAGAACATGGCAGCGCGAAATTCAACCTGTCACCCTCGGAAAGTCTGGACTGTAGGTATTCTTGTCAGTAGCTTCGGACCCATGCCTACGACGCAATGGACCTAGTCGAACAGCCTACTCTTAGCCTATGAAGAAGGTCCAGCCAGGTGTATTTGCGTCGGGAATGAAATTTGAACATGACAAGCATTTCAAAGTAAGTGGCTTCGGATATGTCAGAGATCCCGTTCGTAGAGCCGTAGGCACCCACTGGTTCATCACGACAATGAGGACTATTTGTAGGTCAAGAGTCAGATAACATCATGGAGGCATTGAAATCATCCCGGCCTCATAATTCATTTTACCCTTCTCAACTGTGAATTGTAGATTACGTCTAGTCATGGCTCTTCCTCGCCGCCTGTTTATACCACATAATCTCTCTGTTTGTCAAGTCCGTCCACCAACCCCATATACCATGTGATGTCTTTGCCATTCACATCCCGCTGAGTGAAGCCGTTACCTAGCCAATTCCAGCGATTCGTGCTTCTGTAGGTGATATCGAAGTCTTCGGGCCGAAGAGAAGAGATGAGCTCCATGCTGTAAGGTGATTAGGACAGCTACTTTTCCCATTATACTGACAGTTCACCTACTATTGTGCTCTTGTACCACAATACAACATGACCTTGCCGTCTATCTTTCCACCTTTCATCTGTGAAGAGAATTAAGAAGTCAACACAATAGCTATGAAAAATAAATGAGGTACGAACATGATTCGTAACGAAAGTGCCAGGTATAAAGGCAACAAGGATTTAGCTTACCCAACTCCGACATGGCTCGCTCCAAACCATACGTTTGTGCCACAGGTCAGCATGCTCTCCGTACTCGTCCACCACCTTCCTCTTGGGTGTGAAACTCTTGAGTCTCTGAAGCTGCATTTTCTCGATCCACTGAATATGATATCTCGACATGAATTCAATCATAGGAAGAACGCTGCCTTGGCCTATCATCCCGCCCCTGTCAGCGCTCTGACTAGAGCCATTTCGAAACGCGTAAAATCTAGGCTGACTTACCGGTGGGACCATATGGCCCATAGAAAGTCAGGTAGTTCGGCATCTCGGGGGCCGCAACCCCAAGATATCCCAACGGCTTCTCCGCGTATATATCCTGGAGATTCTTTCCATTCGCAATGATGGGGAACCGGGGAACCCAAGTCGTGTCGAATCCTGTTGCGAAGATGATTGCATCAACTTGCTGCTCATTACCTTCAGGGTCCATGAAGCCTTTCTCTGTAAGCTCCGTCAAGGCTTCAGCCAAATAGATTTTGACGTTGTTCGAAATCAAAGCTTCGAGGTAGCCGTTGCCGGGTCTAGTAAATCTGGGTAAGTATATCGCACAAGCTGTTGTTAAGAAATGTAGTACAGCTCACGTTGGTCGACGACATCCTACTGGAAAGGTCTTCGGTATCAAGGTCTCAATTAGGTCCGGCCGCGATGATAGCTTTCGCTTCATGTCAGATAATGCGAACTGGACATTTTTGTTAACAATACACCCGTTAAGGAATTGACATAGTTCTCACTTTGTTCGCTGCCTCTAGCGCTGGAGTGTTTTTATGCACTAGCATAAAGTCGCTCATCTCATACTCGATAGCCTTGCGATATTTCAGATACCAGGCAGGGTCTCCAGAGAACTTCTTTTTCATTTCGTTAGAGTCTGGAGTGTGTTTGATTAGCGCAGAGACCAGTTCGTGTGCTCAGTTAGCTACGCACATTCAAAGTTTCCTCCATTTGGCCCTGCATGTGCCTGGGCATAGCCGGCCGTCATCCAAGTTGGAGTCCTGATCCAGGTATACAGTTTTTCAATCTCAGGTTGTAAATTAGTGATTAGTTGAATTCCACTGGACCCAGTTCCCACGACAGCAACACGCTTTCCTTTCAGATCGAGATCGCGAGGGTATGCTGCAGTGTGCGCCTTTGTGCCTTGAAAGCGATCAATACCTTTCACGTCAGGCCATTTCCAGTAGCTAGAACAAGAATTGTTAGATATCTGCGGACCATTTATATGCCGGGAACGATGTAATCCTCACTTCAATATACCCCCAGCGTTGATGAAGACGTCACAATGATCCTTAAAGGACCTTCCGTGGGTAACATCAGTTACATCGACCGTCCATTGACCGGCGTCTTCATCCCATTCAGCCTTATCTACGGTGTGCTGGAGCTTGAAATACTTTCTTAGTCCATACTTATGAGTGATGTCAACGAAGTATTGTAGGATCTCGGGCGCCTAGACTCATAGTTAGAGGAAACAAAGGGTGATATTCCCGTTCGGTATCTTGGTTTGTATCATACTTCAGAATAGTATTTCGACCAAACCTTTGGCTCCCACGTGAACTGATAGGTCACGCTTGGGATGTCACAAGCGCAGCCACTTAAGACCTCGTCAGACGGGGCTAGGCCTAGTGTCGAGGAGCAATGTCCTGACTATTACTCACGGATAGACATTTTCCACCCAAGTCCCCCCAACCTCATGATTCTTATCGTATATTGTAAGCTCAACATTTTCAAGTACATCTTGCGCAAACTTCGCAAAATTAACGCCTGCAGCTCCAGCTCCGACGACGATCACACGGAGGGGTCTCTTAACTCCTGAGGGAGTTTCATCGATTTGATAGCCGGTGTCCGATGTGTTCACCCAGCCGTAGAGATTTGGTCGCAACCGGGAGGGAGGGTCGAAGTCGTAAGGTGGCGTGGAATCTGACATAGAAGACTCTTGTATAGACCCCATGCTTGCGGTTGCTGCTAGAGATGTGTATAAACGTGAATACGGAAGAAAATTGGGAATAAGAGCGTTATGCTATTTGTATTTCGTGTTTGAGTTCCAGGAACAAATACGCGCATTTAAAGGACATGATGGAAATCAATCGCATCCCTGAGCTCAAAGTGGATCTTAGTGACCATGGCCGCACTCGCATGGTGCAAGGGCAGTAGCACGCCTTGTGGTCTATGGATACGCCGATACAGTGACCGGAGAAGGAAACCAGTTTTGCCTATGTAGCCGCCTATGTCCGGCCTATGGCGCGAGGGCTCCACAATGCCGCCCCACCACTATTCTGCGGCGAGGGGAGGACTCGGCCTCGGTCAATTCCTTGACAGGGTCCTTCCCTTGTTCAGCAGGTTGTATTCCCTCTGAGATGGTGTAGTACCGTCGTTTCAGTCGTGAATCAATGGCCTCGTACGTCGAACCAAGAATCCCTCAGTTTGCAGACCTTCCTCTGCAAAAATCACATCCTCCATATTCGGCATGGGGCGTCTGGGGAGAGGCTGACCAGCTTGGATGTCTGAATCATCTAACCCCAGATGTGGTGCTGAATGCAGCTCGTGAGATCCGCACAGGCAAGACTGTTGGCCTCAGCTGGGAGCTCAACCAAATGCGGATCCCACCCTGGTACAGGATCAAGCTGCAGCACAAGTTGATTAGCCTCGCTGACTGTATCAATGTTCGTTGGAATGCTCAAATTCAAATAGTAACTGATCTAACAAGCCTTTGTTCCACAGGACGACGAGGTGCATTTCAACACGCAGTCGAGCTCGCAGTGGGATGGCTTTCGGCACTGGTGCTTTTCAGATGGCCGCTTTTACAACGGTATCACGCAGGAGGAAGTTAGGTCGGGGAAATCATCACGCCTTGGTATTCACGGTAGGTATGAACATCACTTGCGCTGAAACGTGGTACAACTCTGACGAGCAAGCTAGAATGGACAAAGAAAGGTATCGTAGGGAGGGGAGTGCTCATAGATTATTATGCGTACGCCAAAGAGCGAGGCATTCAATATGATCCTTGGAGCTTTCACAAAATTTCGCTATCGACTATTCGATCCATTGCCGAAGAGAAAAACATTGAGTTCCAGCCAGGGGATATCCTTTTTCTTCGGACAGGTGAGTGTGATAGCCATGATGATGGTAGCTTTGATAATCTCTAACGGGCATAATGCTTTAACAGGCTACATCAAGCGGTACGAAGCCACGTCGGACGAGGATTTGGAACGAATTATGAAGAGCCCCGAGACTAGATACCCAGGCATGGAAGGCTCAGTCGAAAGTCTGGAATGGCTTTGGAACTCTCGTTTCGCGGCCGTCGCCGGGGATGGTCCTGGCTTCGAGGCTTGGTGTAGGTTTTCTAGGCCCTGCTTGTATCTCAGTCAGTGCACACTGACTCTTCTCCTAGGTGGAGGCGCAGGCGAAGTAGGAGAGTCTGCTGGAGATGAGTTCTACAGAATGCACGAAACACTTCTCTCGGGTTTCGGCATGCCCATAGGAGAGCTTTTCGACCTGGAAGAGCTAGCGCGGCTCTGCAGTGAGCATTCACGATGGACTTTCTTTGTCACAAGTCAGCCATTGAAAGTTGTTGGAGGTGTCGGGAGCCCACCAAATGCAATTGCAATTTTTTAAGGTATTGAACAGTCTGATATATCATGGCAATCGACAAGCGAATAAGCTCTGGTCCTTGCAAAAAACAAGATGACGCTCAGAATAACTACAGGGAGTCTACTTTAGACTGTGTCTCGTGAAGACCGTGCTAGTCGAAAGACAAATGTTGACCCCAAGCAAATCAAGCACCAATACTTACGACGACTTTCCGATCTATCTGAACCAAAAGTGGTTTGTAGTGGCCTGAATTCCTATCTCTGACTAGCTCCGCAATATCGATCTTGCTTGATGCGCCGAAGCACCTAGTGTGTTGGGCTTTGAGCGTTGAAACTTAACTCTCGTGATGCAGATGTATCTTCATTGGAATCCTCCATCAATACTAATGACCTGTACAATGTGTAAGTCGGATTGAGCAGAGGAGTCAGATTGTAAACAATACCGATGAGGTGATGTACCGGGCTTCATCACTTAATAAGAAAGTAATGACCCGCGCGACGTCTGAAGGCACGGCAATGCGACCTAGTGGAATTCGGGGGGCGAAAGTCTCTGTCAGGTCATCCTTCGAACCCATGCTACTTGATAGCTCTGTGTAGAGAATGCCACTGAAGAAGAATCAGCAAACCACGTATTTGTTCTCGGGGGAATACTTACGGAGCGACCGCATTTACCCTGATATTGCGTTTGCCAACTTCCTGCCCAACACTCTTCGTGAAACCGATCACTCCCCATTTGCTGGCAGAGTAGGACGAGAAGGAAGGTATCCCTTGCAGGCCAGCTACACTGGAAGCATTCACAATTGAACCAGAATCTTTCATATAACGCAGCTCGGAGATAACCGAGTTTTTCACGCCATCAAGGTTCACCCTCAATAGATCATTCCATTGTTCATCAGTCACAGTGTCAAGCGGATAGACACCCAAAAATCCGGCCATGTTAACAGCTCCATCAAGTCGACCCCATTGCTTGGCCACGTAGCATATGGCATCGTCAAGTCCCTTGCTATTCTTCACATCGCATTGGATAGAATAGCCCTTACCACCTAGGTTCTTGACTTTCTCTAGAGTCTCGTCTGGCTTCCTCAAATCGATCAAACCAACTCGAGCCCCCTGTCTGGCTAGATTCAAGGCGACTTCTCGCCCAATACCAGCAGCTGCTCCCGTTACCACAAAGCTTCTATCTTGAAGGTCTGAGTAGGACATGTCGGTACCCTGAACGAACTAGGGACTTGGTTGCTACGTTTGCAGAAGTGTTAAATCAACTCACTTTGAAAGCATTCTTCTTTCACGTAGGAGAGTTATTTAGAGTTCGAGCTACGCTATCATTTTCGGGACATGTAGCCAATATACTCTCCGAAGCGGGCATAAAGAAAATCTCGAGTGCTGTTTGTTATCCGTGCCCGCCTAGCCTATGAATAATTAACTGGTGGAGCAGGTTGGTTGCAGATTCGGAATACTGATCATTTCAATATAGTGAACTCAAGAGGTTGGAACATTCTATATCAGTTGTGCCTTTCTCAAGACTTATCTTGTGAAGTATAGCCGGAGGAGAACAGTGGCAGGATGATTGTCTCATGAACATGAACCCCGAGAGAGCGCGCTGTCTAGTCAGTTCAGGTATTTCAACATAATTCAACACACTATTGAAGCAACTTGATGAACATCTGAGATCCATATCTCCACTGGTCCACCCTTTGCTCGACGTCTAGCACCATGTCAGCAACAAGGCCTCTTAAGTGAGATTCCATTGTCTGCAGAAGTCGCTATCGGGGAGAACATCGCAAAGCTTCAATCGATGCTTGTTAAATGCCAACATACTGTGTTTATGATTCGGCACCCCTTGTCCTGCAGGCTAAGACGTGGTCAATTCTTGCAAATCAGTGTTAATTCATTCAACTCTGCGACTGTGGACCTTTCAATTCCAGGTTCTCAGAACGTTATCTCTATTGTCTAGCCGGTCCGTAATGCTTTTCGGGGAGCCGGATTCGGGAAACCTCATCTCCGACAGTTATTACCATTCGAGGTTATGGATATCGTCTTCCCTCTCGGCTCTCAGATGATTGGCAGGCTTGAACAAAGGTTCGTTGATAATCAAAGACGAAGCACAGAGCCGAAGGAAATCATATGATCAGCGGCGCTCCCCATCTTGGCCATATACATCTGCCCTTCCGCTGCTCGGTACTATACCAGCTTTCAATATCGATGAAATCGTGTTCTGCCATTCTCCCCAAACCTCGGGCTACGATCTAGAGCACAGATACAACATGACATCAGTGTTTCAGTTCATATCTGACATCCACGCCATCTCGTGGCGTTTTTGGACTGTTGGATGCTTTGGTACTGTAAGTAGGATCACACCTTTGAAGGCCCATGTCTGAATTTGGGAGATTTTGTTAGCAATAATCGCCCACATTGTGTACAACCTCTATCTGCACCCGCTGTCCGGGTATCCAGGTCCCTTACTATGGCGAGCTTCGCTGCTGCCGTATCTCTGCAGTTTGGTTCGCGGCGATATCAGCTATAATTGCAAGAGTTTCCATGAGAAGTACGGAGATGTCGTCCGGACATCCCCTAACGAGCTCTCGTACCGCAATGTCCAAGCATGGAAAGATATTTACGCAAACCGTCCTGGACACACGCTTCTTCCTAAAGAGGTTAACTTTTACACTCCGCCCAAAGTTGCGCACAATATCTTGACGGCAGATCACGCCTATCACGCGAAGATCCGGCGTAATGTGGCGAATGCATTCTCTGAGAAGGCGTTACGTGCCCAGGAGGGTTTGATCAAAAGTCATGTTGACCTGCTCATCGTTAGGCTGGGTGAGCTAGCAGATGCTAAGCAGAAACTAGATATCGTGATGTGGTACAATTATGCTACCTTCGATATCATCGGCGACTTGGCTTTTGGCAAACCGTTCGGGTGCTTAAAGAATTCTGACCTTCACCCCTGGGTTAGAATGCAATTTTTATTCAACACCGCCGCTCCGCTATTGTTGACGATGTCGATGGTGCCGTTTGGCATGAGGCTACTGCGATTGGTCGTGCCGAAGAAGACGATGCAGATTCGCAAAGACCACGTCGCTCTAACCGAGGAGGCTGTGCGAGAACGATTAGCGAGAAAGACCGAAAGGGCGGATTTCATTCACTTCATGGATCGAGATATTGGGGCAGAAGGCAATAAGCTCTCCTTTGACGAACTCGTCAGCAACGCATCAGCTTTGATCAATGCTGGTTCTGAAACAACAGCAACGCTACTTTCCGGAGCTACCTTTTATCTACTCAAGAATCCGGATGTGCTAAAGAAGATTACTGACGAGATCCGGGGTGCCTTTACGTCGGAAGTCGACATCAACTTTGCCTCAGTATCTAATCTCAAGTATACTCTAGCCTGTCTGAACGAAGCTCTTAGGGTGTATCCCCCAGTCCCAACGGGTCTTCCAAGGGTGATTCCAGCAGGAGGCGAGCTGATCATAGAAAGATTCGTGCCGGAGAAGGTATGCCGTTTCTCTATATCCATTTAAGCTCTATTGCAGCTAATACTAGGACAAGACCGTGGTATCTGTCAATAACTGGGCATGCTATCACTCGGAGGAGTACTTCCGCGACGCCGGAAAATTTGTCCCTGAGCGTTGGCTTGACGATCCCAGATATACAGACGACAATAAGAAAATTTGGCAACCTTTTTCGGTCGGGCCTAGAGTCTGTATAGGGCGCAAGTAAGTGTTTGAGCTCACTCCTGACTTTGACAAGCAATGACTGACCGGGAGTAGTCTCGCTTACGTCGAAATGAGACTTATCCTGGCCAGAGTTTTGTATCAATTTGACATGCACTTGGAGCCAGACAGTACTAACTGGGCTGATCAGAGAATGTGGGTTCTCTGGGAAAAGGGGGAACTGAATGTGACACTCACTCGAGCCCAACGGCTTACCAAATAGGTAGAGTTTTGCAAGACCTAGAGCTAGTGAGGCTTTCCAGAGCCGTTTGAGGAAATTTGGATGTTCTCCCAGTGAGTTGGCACAGTAGAACATTGGGTCTGGTCCTGGGTCTTCGAAATGTTGGCTATGGAATAGTGTCCTTCCACGTAGGCACCTAAAGTAAGCTTTCCGCGGGTTATCGGGTTTACTTATGCGAAGGTTGAAAACAGACGCTCCCGTACCCAGACAGCTACGGCGTGGAGAAACTCTTGGTTTGCCGCGGAATGTAATGTGGACCTATGTCCATCTGCAAAGGACATATAGACTTGTGCGATATGTTTGAACTTACCGATCCACGTGGCCTAGTCTCACGAGCTGTTCTTGTGACTGCGATAATGGAAAGCCAGAATGGGACAAAGCCTTCCATTGAAGAGCTTCATGACGAAACGCGCAAGGAAAATCACTTCGACGAAGTCGAGGTTACTCAGCCATCCATTCCACAGCCTGGAGACTCTCCCGAAGTGAACGTCCCTCGCAAAACCTGGGCTGCTATAATCGTAAGCTGGACACTCCTGACAATAAAGCTTGATTGACCTGACAATTTCTGTAGAGTTTGTCCGCGTACGATTTTTCAACACACCCTCTGCAGCACGCTCTTCATACTGACCATATTTGCTGTTAGAGGTTTCGGCTTCTCTTTCTGGATGATTCCAGTTGCAGCAAATATTGGGCCTCAGCTGGCGACTGAATTGGGTGATGCTTCCAATTACGCCTGGTTCGTTACTACGTATACGATGTGTAACGCCGTCACCTCGATGCTGTTTGGGTCCTACTCCGACTTGTTCGGACGGCGGTGGTTCATCATTGTCGGAAACGTCATTGTTTTTGCAGGGCTTATCATCGCGGGTGCGGCTAGCAACACTGATACATTCATAGCTGCTTGCGCCATAAGTGGCCTGGTAGGGAGACGAAGGACATGACTATTTCATCGCAGAAGTTGACCGTCAACAGGGCGCCGGACTTGCCCAACAGTCCTGTTGGGCAGTACCTGAGTTACTACCGAACAGAGTGAGACATGTTGCCCTGGTAATCACAGGTACGAATGCATGGTCATGGGAAGTTGGCCTGTCCGTCTAACTGAGAGGCTAGAGGCGAGCACTTGGACGTGTGTCACACTGGGGCCTGTAGCAGCCCGCCTAGCTTTCGATGAGGGAACCAGGGTCCTCGCCCTAACATTCAAAGTTTGCAAGCGGTTACTGATTGGAAATAGTGGCGGTGGTTGTTCTACGGACCGGCCATCGGAGCAGGTCTTAACACCTTGATCTTGTTTTGGATCTACTTTCCGCCCAAACATCCTCGCGGAATTGCCTGGGACAAAGCTATTCGAAACATTGATTATACTGGAGCACTATTGTTCGCGGCTGGTGGCGTCCTTGTTCTGTTAGGCGTGGTCTACACCAACATTTTGCCTGCCTCCAGTCCCCGTGTGGTGGTCTTGCTCTGTGTTGGCTTCACCTTCATCATTGCCTTTGCCTTGTGGGAGCGTCTCATGCCACTTGAAGCGCCACTGTGCCCCCCGAAAATATTCGCAATCCACTGGGGACGCGAGTTTACATTCCCTTTCATGGCGGCAACTATAATCAACATGTTCTATTACTCAACAAACGTGGCGTACATCAGTCAGGCAAGTGCATTGAACAACATTGGGCAACGAGGCACCCTGACATTTACTAGATGAACATATTGTACACTGACTCATATACTCCACTGTCCTACGCGCTGAAGTTGACCTTGCCACAAAATATGGGCATGATGTGCGGAGAGGCTTTGGTTGCACTGACTGGGTGAGATATCCTGTTCCAATTCCTCCTGACAAATTGACTGAGAAAGTCCGCAGGTCTCGAATCAAGTGGTGGCGAACCCAGTATTTCATCTCCACGTTATGGATGGTGCTCTTTGGCACTCTCCTTGCACTGGGACGCAAAGACAACCGAGGCATGATGATGAGCTTTGCATTTCTCTGTCAATTTGGATACGGATGGGCTCTCACTCTAAGTTTCACTTTCATCCAGCTTGGCGTCGATCAGATCGAGCTGGGGGTTGCCGGAGCTCTGGCGTATGCTGACCTTGGCGTGGTATCTTTATGGAACGGAACGTATGCTAATTTGTAAATAGGGCAACCGGACGTTGGACCGGCGGGTCAATAGCCTCCTCAGTATACACGACCATACTGACCAACTCGTTGACATCAGCTTCAGCGAAGAAAATTCCCGACGCAGCCGCCAGAG